CACGCTGAAAGCAGACTGGCTAGGTAAAAGGTTCCTTGTGACTGTCGCCGACGCGGCCGTCCAGAAGGACGCCCAAACAGAGGTCGCTGAGGCCTCATTAGCCTCAAGGATACAACTGACAAATTGGAAGAATGCAGGACATATAGCGATGGCCGACCGGACAGGCCTCGCTTTGGACTGCCTGGACTGAGGTGTCTTGGTATCGGGAGCATAGTCGGCTAAACAGAGGCGACTGAAGGCTTCAATGGCCAGCAGGAAGTGACCAGCCTCTGCAATGAGGAAAAGCAGTTCCGCCGTGCTTCTGTCAGTCACAGCGCGTGGAACAGTTTGGTTGGGAAGGTACGTCTGAAATTCCAGAGCCAGGAAGGCTGTGATGGGGTTTTCTAGAACCCGAGTGTTGCTCTGTTGACCCACAAAGGTTGTTGGGACACCAGCTGACGTCAAGAGACGAGTCAGATCGCCAGCATTCGGTTTAAGGCGCAGCTTCAGCACCATTGAGATGGCCCAGTGATAGAGACTGGCAGCCTCGGGCTCCTTGGGAATTTGGAGGGCAGCTGATGAGAAGTGGGAAGAAGAGAGCCGCAGGGGCGAGTGGGAGTTGGAACGACGACTGCTGCTGCCCGGAGCAGCCTGGAGTCGACGTGGCGATCGAGCAGACATCGCTACTGGAATAAACCCTGTCACAAACGATCCGGCTAGTGTGGTTGCTGATTTGACGGCGTCAGTAATCTAATTGATAAAAGAATAGATAAAGCACGAGCAGCTGAATTAAGTACCAGTAATAAGTTGAAAGAAACGACAACGTGGAAGCACGTCGTTATGATCATCTTCAACTGTAAGAAAAGGCCTCTAATAAAGGCATGATAGCGCTGGTATTTGAGAATGAAGAAAAGAAGGTCTGTTTCGTCTTCTTGACTTCTCTGACTCCGTCTCCAGCAGTTACGCGTACGTCAAACCCAATGATGACAACTATCAAGGCAGTACGCGTAACTGCTGGATACAGAGTAAGAGCAGCCAAGAAGACGAAAAAACACTCAACAAGGTACAGAGTATTTGGCCTGAGAATCAAGTACTCAATAGGGATTGGCCGTGCTAACAAGGTTCAGAGTATCTGGACGGACAAGCCAGTACTCAACACGGGTACAGAGCATTTGGCCTGACAAGCCAGTACTCAACAGCCAGTACTTAACAGGAGCCACAACGTTGGCCGGATTGGCAAACCTTTATGCTAACACATTCCAAACTAAAACCACACACGCTTTCCCAAGACTAGTTTCGCCCTGTTGTTGAACTTGTGTTGTTCCCTTGTATAGAATCAGGCGATTTGGCCGACTCTCTTCGCTCTTCACTCTGAGTATCCATTACTGATTACTGTTATTGTTACCCATGTTCAAGGATCCGGGCGGAATCCAAAACCTTAGGACAATAAAACTCTTGTTCCAATGGTCGCATCTCCTTCTCAACTAGCATATTTACCTCTGTTTCGCCTTTCTTGACTTCTCTGACTCTGCCAATATAAGCGAACACGCGACATTCTCTGACTCTGTATCCAGCATTCACGCGTACTGCCTTGATAGTTGTCATCATTGGGTTTGATGTACGCGTAACTGCTGGATACAGAGTCAGAGCAGTCCAGAAAGACGAAACAAGATCAGTTGTGGAAATCGGTGTGTTAAAATGCGGCATGGACACGACAAAAA